GGCGCGGGGAGGGCGGGGCCGGGGCCGCCCCGCCGGAGGGCGCCGTTAGCGCGGGAGGGAAGAGGCCGCGGTTCCCTCACAGCCATTTCGCGGCCCTTGCCGCGCGTGGCGGCCGGTTTTGTGCCGCGGGGCTCCGCTACCTAGCGCAGACATCTTGCGTGCAGCCGCCTGGCGCCCTGCCCGTGCGGAAAGAGCCGCCTTTTATCTGCCCGTGTCAAAAAGCGGTCGGGGGAAAAAAAGGGGGGGACCCGCTTTTACAGGCAGGCGTGGAGCAAAGCGGGCCCTGCACAATGGAGGCGCGGGGGGCTCGGGGTGCCGCGGCCGAGCCTGGCACTGCGCGGTGCGTAATTGGCTTCCAATTAAGGGTAAAGGGATAATTAATTCTGTACTTCCTGGCTCGTGTGCCGCTTTTTTAAGTGAAACTGAAAATAGTGTGTTGTCTTCCTTTTTTCTTTTTTCTTTTCATTATTAGTTTTGGTTTACTGTTGCGCTGCCGTACGTTGCTGCAGTTTGTAATCCAGAAACATAAACATGTGCATCGTCCCGTGTGCGTACCGTAGTAGCTTCCTGTTACCCTTTTTGCGTGTGCTTTGTTTCTTACTACCAGCGCTGGGAAATGTTTGCTCGGGAATGGGCTCCGCGCCACGGGCCGCTCCGTTGCCGGAGCGTGGGCTCCGCCGCGTGCCGGGTGGCCACGGCTCTTCCGCACCCGGAGGCCGAGCACGAGGACTCAGGGAYGGGTCAGGCCGGCAGAGGCTGCGATGAGAGCGCGCGCAAAGTCTGTGTAATTTTGATGCAAAACTCCACGTTCCTTCTGGAAGCAAGTGTTTTATCCATCTTATTGAAATCTCTTTTTGACCTTGGACCAGGAAAAACTTGGAAGGACATTTGTGTAGGGGAAAACAGTGTACATGAGCATGTGTGCCGGGCCGCCACCATGGGCAGGAGAGAACAACAGTGGCATCGGGACCACTATCAATGTTTGCAGTTTTTTGCCTATTTGTCAGAGAGCTGATACMTCCACTTTAGGAGTTTCCTTGGGATAAGAATCAATGTATCTTGAAACAGTGCTGGATCTGATTTATTGCTGTTACACAGTACTTGTTATCTGGTTGYGCACCGATCATCAAAAACAAATTTTACAAATAGCTCAGCCTTATCTTGTTGTTCTGTAGAGCTCTCAAGCTTTCTCAGATAATCTTTTGGTTTCCCATTCACTTCAGTGTTGATTCTTTCTTCTTCCCTCCTCAAATACGTTTCTTCAAAAGTTTTTCTAACACTTTTCCTTTCATTTTTTTTTTAAAAAGGAGATGGCACTTGGCTAGTAGCTGCACTTTGAAGATTGGATCTTAGCTGAAACTCACTGAGCCCAAGACCTGTCATCTAAATCTTCCATTTGGACCAGGATGTCTTCATTTCTCAGTTAAGATTTTAGTTTTGTGTGTTCTTTTCTGAGAAATGGAAAGCTGCTTACAAATACTGTGTGAAATCTGTCAACAAGTACAAGGCAAAAACACCTAGGAATGAAACAAGCCCTTGTGTAGCATATTGAACCTGTCTGATAATCTGTGAAAAGAATGGATTTTAAAAGCTTTTTTAATTGAAATTTTAAAGGGAGGGCGGGAGCTCTAATTAAAGAGTACATAATTTGTCTTTTGTGGGACTATAAGCAGGGCAGTTTACTGTGCTCTGTTTAACCTGYCTGACTGATGTAATCAGTCATTACATCATAAAGGTGAACCTGCTTGATGTTGTGATGTCGCAGGCATTGCTGTATTATAAGCTGTAGCTTATCCTTTAGACTCCCAGTGGAGGTACTAGAGGAAAGGCCTTTCCTTTTTGGTACAGCCAGATAGCGCTCGTTTCTATCAAAAATTTACCTGCAGATTGGTAGTATATATTGTATGTAATATAYTGTTTCAATTATTTATAGTTATGTTTATTAAAATGTATTTGTTACATTTATTTAAGGAATCACCGTCTTGAAACCTAATCAAACAGTTAAAAAGGAGTTAGTTAATTGTCTTTGTCCTTGAGGGTTTAGTTTTGTGAGTTTTTTTATGCGTGGGAGTAACATTCACTGTTTCCTATCTGTAACTTGCATTCCTCAGTTGCTTTTTAGGGGGGGGGAAATGCAATTGCGCTAAGTGAAACTGAAAATTAGAGATGGTTTTTGGTGTAACTTTTGTTTATAGTAAGAGTTGTAATGTTTTTGCACTTATCACACTTGCAAGTATTGCTGCCAAAAATTTAATCAAAGCAAGTGTTTACTGGGAGGACAGAAGAAACACAGGCAGAAATAAATCTGTAATTCTTCTCTTGCCCTGTGGTTCCCAGGAATACAAAGCTGGGCCTCACTGGGATCTCACTGAGCCAGGGCTTGCAGCTTCCATAGACCTGGAAGAAAGGAACCTCATGCCACAGGCTGGGTAGCCTTCACAAATTAACTCCGTATTACAAACAGATACTGAAATTGTATTTAAAAGTTATGCACATTATATAATAGCGAACAAACAAACAAAAACATTGCAACTGATGCAGTGTGCATTGGAAAGAAAGTGATTATAGCACCATCTGAGTGCAGGTTGCTTTGCACATACAAAACTGAGTAGTGATACTATGAAGGAGTGCTCTGTTACTCCACCTGGCAATGGATTGATCTTCTTCAGAGAATGATTTCAAATTTGTTACAGATTAAAAAWCTTTCAAATCAGCTATTTATTTCAGCAAATTGTTTTTTGAGATTAAGTCTCAGAATTTCTATTCTTCTTTTCTTTCTGGAATTCTTAACAGTCTTGCAACAACCACAACTGTCTCCTCTGTTGCAGATATGAACAATGACCATAGTTAACAAGCCCAAATCGTCAAAATCTAAAAAGTCGTCATCCAGACGGTCTGGCAAATCAAAGAAACCCCGTACTAAAAAAATGAAGTCACGCACCGCCAATTGGGGTCGGGTACCACCTGCAGAAGATCCAAATCAAGTCTCTGTGGACCAAGGACCTGGAGGTGCTATTTATTGTAGATCATCTGAAAAATCTAAACCTTTTGCCCAAAGAGACCTAGGTAATGGTATCTTTTATCCTGCCTTTTTTTTCTCAAAAAATTAGTATATGACAGCTATTCTGCATTCTTACCTGCTGAACTGGTGTAAAATGGATCTGTGCCTAGGAATAAAGACTTCAACAGTAGACTAATTTTGTGAATTCCCTAAGACAACCGTGTCACTAGTAACTAGTGTAACAACTGTGTAGCAGCCAGTGTTGCAAAAGTTTATTTTGGTATGTTGGCAATTTACAGTGCATTATGGRGAGTTTTTCTTCATAATACGTGGACTTAACCACATTGTGCAAAAGCATTTTATCATTGCTCTTTGTGGTTTCCATTAATCGCAAGTCTATGAAAGATAACATTCCTTGCAAAAAGTTCTGATATTAATAGGGATACCATCTGTGATGATTGCTTATTTCTAGTCTTAATGCTTTTTATCATGTAATTACAAATATAASTAGTAGTTGAAGTTACAATAAGGAAAAAAACAATAATCAAATCACTCAGATTAATGAATCTAGATGAGAAGAAACATGACAAGAGTTACTGAAAATAAAATGTTATGAATTACAGCTGGTTCCTCTGAGTGCTTAGATACGGAATGCTATTTTAAAAAATATCCCTTTTAAAGCAAAATAACACAATTTCTTTCAAAATATAATTCTCTTGCAGTCGTTAATGATGGAATTGCTCCACCGCAAAGGATTCTTTTTCCACCTGAGAAGATTTGTATGGACTGGCAGCAAACTCAAAGTGTTGGAGTTGGACTCTACAACCTTGGGAATACCTGTTTCCTCAATTCTGCTCTACAGTGTTTGACTTACACCCCCCCTCTCGCCAATTATATGCTTTCTCTTGAACACACCCAATCATGTGCGTACTTTTTAACTTTATTTTAAATCTGCTGGACAGCTCTGAAGGTGAACGAAGAGCGTTGATTCTGTGAAGGAAACTCTTTCCTTTTTTTACCTGTACAAGATGGCTCTGAGTATTGTATTAATGTTGGGCTCAGAATAGCTTGTGTAGTGCATTCTTTCATTTAATGAACTGTCCTTAAATTTCAAAGGAACATCATTGCTTGCTTCACGTGAATAATGAAGTGTATTAGAAAGTAATCCCTTTAATGAATATTTGGCATTTGGATTTCCTGCTCTTAGGAAGATGATAAAAATTTAGGCTGGTAGCGTCATAGATTCCTAGTGTTCCTTCACAGCCTCATTTCCATAATGCATTAGTACTGTGATAAATTATATGTTCGCTGTTGAACCATTAAGAAACAAAACATGTGAGCTAGTAGGATCATATGGAATCAAATATAAATTTCTGTGGGAGTGTATTAAAATTGAGACTGATTTTATCTTAAATAAAATTCCTGATTTTTTCCACCCTTGAGTTCATGTTTTTTAATTTTATTTTTATACTTGAACTTATTTAAGCTTTTTAGGCTCTTCTTGTATCTATATATGGATACTTTGACAAAGGCACCTGTGTGCCTTTTAATCTTTCTAGTTTAGTATTTTAGTATATCTTCCCAGGAGTTTAACATTGTACTCATTATAAAGAAAAAAATCTTTCAGTTAAGCATCCTTTGGAAAAAAGAGGAGAGTAGAAATACTTGTAGATACATAATTAACCTTCCTTTTCTCCCAAAGGATTCTTATCTCAGTTTCATGTAGCTCACCTGACAGCAGGTGTGCTGAAAATAACACAAGTTCTTTTCTAATGCTGCATCATCAATGTCAAATATTGTTCCTCATATGTACTGCTACCTGTAGAATTCAAATTCTTCTCAGCCTGCAARTACTGACTTTGCAGTAGTCATTTACATTTCTCATCAGAAAATGCATTTTAATACAGAGATTATTTTATGTAGTGTTGTGCAATGAAATATCACAAGAATCTTGTAATATTAGCACTTTAAGAGAAGACAATGAAAAATGGAGATTGTACCTATAACCTGAAGATTTTACTTCATAAGGTTTTTCCATAACTACTTTTCTTTCGCTAGACTGAGATGTTTTCTTCCTTCAATTCTTCAGGTCGTGAGCAAGGCTTCTGCATGATGTGCACAATGGAAACTCATATTAATCAGGTCCTTTGTTGCTCTGATGATGCCATCAAACCTACACCTGTCATCAACGACCTTAGAAGTAAGTAAGATTTTTTTTTTTAAGTTTTCCAAGATTATATAATATGCATAAACAATTTTTATAGTTTAATTTTAAGGAAGAGAGATTATAGAAATATATTTCTCTCACTTTTATGCAAAATAAATACAACAATTTCTTCTTTGTTAGGAATAGGAAAACATTTCCGTTTTGGCAGTCAGGAAGACGCGCATGAGTTTTTGCGCTACACGGTTGATGCCATGCAGAAAGCTTGTTTGAATGGAAGTACCAAGTAAGTATCAGCAAATATATCATTAAGGTTTTTCTAGATCTTCTTACTGCTTTTTTATGGTAATAAATGAAAATCTATGTCCATGATTTTCATTAAAAAGTCTCCTTTTGAAGAGTTGACACTCTGCCTCGAGTCTTCTGACCTTGGCTTATAATTTATTTCCAGGTTAGACAGATCTTCTCAAGCTACCACAGTAATTCATCAGATATTTGGAGGATTTCTAAGATCCAGAGGTACTTTTAAATTATATAACTCTCCTTAAATTGATCTGTGCCCTTTTTGTCTGTTTGTAGTAAAGCAGCTCCTAGTTATAAAGTAATACGTGTTAATAATTTAAATGTGCACCATTAATTTATTTCTCATATTGTTAAGCATTTGTATTTTGATTGCAGTAAAGTGCTTGAACTGCAAAGCAGTTTCGGACACCTATGAGGCATTCCTTGATATTACTTTGGATATTAAGGTAAGAGGTTCTGTAACTACRGTTCAAGATTTTAAAAGCATCTGTAGCTCTCAAATGTGAACTCAATTTACTCAAAATATATGCTGTTAACATGAAGAGCTTGGTGGTGGACAGGAAGTTTGTCTTTCCGTGGAAGCCATGTAATGGTCTCCATGACTGTGTTGATTTTAAATTGTTAAAATAATAATTATATCTACACACATGGTTATACTTCACTGTTTTGTACTACCTCAATATACATATAATTGTATAGCAACTGAATATAATATAATAAGTAATATAATTATATAGCAAGATCCTCTTCTAAACTACTACTAAGGGTTTGGAATTTTGAATTTCCACTAACTTAGCACTCTATTTCTCATGCAGGCAGCTTCATCTGTCACCAGAGCTCTAGAACAATTTGTGAAACCAGAACAGCTGGATGGTGAAAATTGCTATAAATGTAGCAAGTAAGATTATTACTAATTATGTCTCAAGACTAGATACTGGTTTAAAGCGTTGTATATTTTAGAGCATGAGGTATCTTTTGACTTAATTTAGAAACACAGCGAGAAATAGGTTTTGTTTTAGTGATGAATATATTGAAATATATCCAGAACTTGTAAAATAATACATTTGTTTCCAAGACAGTGATTTTTACTATTCCTTTTGAATATTTGAACGTGCAGACATCTGGTCATACTAACCCGTTCCTAGTATTGTCTCCRCTGGGAGCGGTCAATCTCCCTAACAACAAGGTTGCGCCCTGCAGTATTCCTATGGCAAGAGGTTGAAGATGCATCCTACACTGTGTATAGTGGTGAGCTCAAACAAGGAGCTGTGCCCAGTGACCTGGGGTAGCAATAGGACATTATTCCTGGAATATTGACATTATTCCTGGAATTTAACCTTGTATTTTAGCATCAGAATTTGGAAAGAGAGTATTTAAGTCTGTCCACTTATTTTAACTTTCAATAGTGTTTTTCTTAATGATATAAACTGGCCTATTTCAGTATTTGTGTGCAATAGTAGTTGAATTGCACTGCTTACACTGTGTATCCTACCTTTGAGTGGACTACGTAACAAACTTACAAGTAGCTATTAGTCTCAAAGGGTTTCAGAGGGTTCAGTCTCTTCCCAGGCAACCTGAGTACATGAAGACGTGTTACTGTCAAACGTCTTCCTCCGGTAGCATGACTGTTTCCTTTTATTGCTTTTTTGACGTTGATAAACGATCCCTTTTGGAAATGCTTTGCAGTTTCTAGCCCTGAGCGCCGAAGCTCCGTTTTTGCAGTTCTTTTAGCATTTGTATTCTAGTAGAAAGCTGAAAGAATGTATCCAGCACATGAGTTGGACTTGGCTATTTTTGAATAACTCTAAGTGCTACTTTGTGTTACATGCTAATGTGCTCTACCCAGAGATTCATGTTCCTGCTACTTTTAAGTTGYTGGTGAGCCTTACTTTTCGCCATAACAAAGACACATGTTCAAACATTTGTTTGACTATCAAAAGATAATGTTCTAAATCCTTTATTCTTTGTTCTGTAGAGCTGTCCTCTTATATCCTGCTATCTTCTCTGTATTAGCAAACCTGAAATGCAGTATATGGATTTATGAAAAGAAAAAACATATTATGCAAGTAAATATCATTCAAATAGCATAAGCATGTGTGAGACACGAAAACTTGTTTGACCTTCGGGGAAAGACACTTTTAAACAATTGTCTGTGCTTGTTTTTAAGGTGTAAAAAGATGGTTCCTGCATCAAAAAGGTTTACGATACATCGTTCTTCCAATGTTCTCACGATATCCCTGAAAAGATTTGCAAATTTTACTGGTGGAAAGATCAACAAGGTAAATATACCTCTATAATGCAACCTCCTATTTCCAAAAGCAGAATACATATTTAAAAACTGCTAATGTCGGCAAACAATAACGAGACTGTAGATGCCTAATAAAAATCAATGTAATAACTATTATTTTTACTCTTGTGGCACCAGCGAAGTCTTGTGGCACCAGTAAGCCTATACTCTTTAAGAGCATGTAATCAGCTTAAAAAGATTACTTTTCAGAAAATAGTTTTTGCAACTTAGATTGCTAAGTGTTATTAATGGAAATAAGTATTTTTAATGATTCCTAAATTTTAGTCTGTGTTTTCTCTGTTTTTCTTGAGTTGTTTCTTAAGGTATTTCAGGATAGTTTTTTGAACATTCTTGGTCTCTTTTTAGGATGTGAAATATCCTGAATATTTAGATCTTCGAGCCTATATGTCTCAGTCAATTGGGGAACCGCTGCTCTATGCCTTATATGCAGTCCTGGTACATAGTGGTGTTAATTGTCATGCAGGACACTATTTCTGCTACATAAAGGTAAATATCAACTTACTCTCTAAAATCTGTATCGATAAAGACAAACCTTCACTAAAATGTTATTGGTAACCACTCTTGTTAGAGGAAAAGGTTTTGTTACAAATTGTTTGCTTTAGTTTGTTCTTTGCTCCATAGTGTTTTCTCTGATTTAATTTAAAAAACGTGCAATCCATCTGAAGATAGTGTTGACTTTATTTGCAGGCTGGTAATGGACTTTGGTACCAGATGAACGATGCCTCTGTAGTCCTTTGTGATATCAAAACAGTTCTCAGCCAGCAAGCATATTTGCTGTTTTATATCAGGTAATGACAAGTATTAAGATGTGTTTAAAATACCTTTACAATCCTGTTATTGATATTTTTCTTCTTTTTTTTTTAACCGTTCTGAGAAAAAATGTTTTCAAAACTCAGTTCTGCCTAATCTGAAATTCCCCATGTCATTTATTATATTTCATTGCTTAGCCTTAAACTGTTGCACTTGAGTAAATTGCTACATTTCTGTAACCGGCTAATTTAGAAGAGAGGAGTATAGGGATGAGTTACTGCTCTAACAGGGACTGACATTATAGCGAGACCATTAACCAATGCTACAAACTGAGAAGTAGTTAAGTCTTGTGTATACAAGTGTATTAACTGCTCTTACAAAACTGGAGGATGGAATTGAACGCCAAGCAGCACCTCTAAACTGCAGTCACTCCTGTTTCMCTAGGCGCTATGATTTGACGCTTGGAGAACGCGCCTTTTACCTACCCGCTCCGTCTTATCCCCGCTCATTCCTTGGTCAGCGGGGGGCTAATAAGCAGACTGGATTTATGGGACCACGGCTTCCTCCTCACATGATTAAGGTAATTTGGGGGGGACAGATAACAGTTCCAAATTGATAGTGCTTTGATTTGTTCTAGTTGGTTCTAGTTGTTTTAGAAAGCATCTGAGTTTTATTTTTGCTTCTACTCTGCAGCTTTCTTCACAACCCACATATTACAGCCCAAATCATTCAAACAGTGATTAATACTAAGATGTGCACCCATGCTGCCTCATTGCTTTTTTGGTTTTTTGTTTGTTTTTTCTTTCTTAGCTTTATCACTTTAACTGAGACAGTGGAGCCAAATTGGCTTGTTCCTGAGCACTGGAACAATTATTCTATAATCATTTGATGCAAATATGCAGAAAAACAAAGCTAGGAACACACTTAGACACATAGATAATTATAAGTGAACTATTTTTTTATATATAGTTGTTGGGGCAATTTAGAATTACTTAATGGGAGGTTTTATGTTCTGGAGTTTTACATGCCATGTGTTTGCATATAGCCCTCTTGCAATCTCTTCTGTTTATGTGCAGAATTCAAGTCGGCTAAATGGAAACGGATCTCTAAAAGAGGATCCCAATACCATTGGTGTCACCCTCAAAAGGCCATCTTCAGCCCCACCAACAGCTTGTGTTCAAAACTGGGCAATTACCAGGCCTTCAATTACTGATCCCTCCAAGAAACAGAAGATCACTATCAGTATTCATAATAAATTGCCTGCACGTCAGACCGTGTCTCAGCCTGACTCTCTTAGCAGCGCTGTTGAGGATGAAGATCTCAGCAAGCCTGTTCCTTCCTCCACAATTACAAAATCTTCTGCAGCAGAGTCTACCTCAAATGCATCTACAATGTCAGTTGCTACTAATGTTTCCAAACAAGAAGTTCCTGATGAAATTTTTGTTGAGCCAGCAGTGAATGGAAATCCAAAACTCAGCTCTGATAACACAGTCCCTTACGGTGCAGAATCTTCAGGAAAATCTGAGGAGGAGTCGAAGGGCTTATTTAAAAGGAATTGCAACGTAGTATCTTCTAATGGAATTTTGATTGGAAAGGTAGTCCGTACATTGCAGAATTCCCATTCTTCTTGTCAGAATGCTGAAGAAGAAAGACCCCAGCATGAGCTGCCAAAAAATGATTCATTAAATGGTGCTATTAGTTTAGATAATGAATCTAAAGAAAATGGACTGAAACTTGATGATTCCGCTTGCCAAGTACAACCTGTTAAACCTTCAGAGATTTTCTTTTCTAAAACAAATGGATTGCTTGAAACAGTAAGTTGTTTGTGTCRTCTAGAGCTTCTCACACATGATGTATTTAGGAATATTGTAATGTTCTTAATCCAGGTGAAATAGTGAGGAAAAAAGCATGGCACAGGTCTAGCTATGGCACTTCCAGTGCTATTATTCCAGTTTTCAGAGTTAAACTGATATATTAGAACAAGCTCAGCTGAGATAATCATAAGGGTTCCATAAGGTCCGTTTGGGGAGATGGGTGGGGCTATGTTTAAAATGTGATTAATGCATGTCACTCAAAGCAATCTTATTTAACATTTAATGCACAAATTTTGAGAACAGTAGTTTTCTGCTATGGATACGGTCTTTCTATCTGTTAACTTCTATGTTTTAATTATAGATGCCTATAGCTTTGCCTCCAGTCCCTCAAGAAATAATCTTAGAATCCCTCACATACAGCCAGTTGAACAGCTTGTCAGAGGAAATAAGGTAAAATGAGTATGCTTTGATTAAAATAATATTTAATACACATTTGTTATGGTTTTACTTATTTACCAGTACCATTTAATTGTTAGATTTAAATCAATACAGAGAATTCCCCATTGCATATACAACASTATGAAGAGAGCTGATGATCAGCACTCTGCATCCTTGGATACATAGAAAGTTTTGCAGTTTCTTAATTCCTTTCTTTCTTTTTCCCTCTACCTCTGGAGATGTATCCATGAATGTACATCGTAAAATGTAATTTCCTGCCATCTGCCTTCCCTTGCGTTTGGAGGAGAGTGGGGAAACCCATGTAAACACTTTTTCTTAGGTGGGAGAAGAGCAAACATGGTGGGTTTGGCTATTGCTGTGATTCAGAACAGCACGTGGAGAAAGACAGATAGTTTTTCAATGCAGTACTTTCAGAAGCAAGAAACAACAAAGCTCTTCTCTGGGAGCTGACGAACGTGTAGCAATCAGGAAAGAGATTTCTMAAGGGAACATCTTTCTGAGCTTGCCAGTAGCTGTCACTTCTTTATGTAACAGATCTTTACTCTTAATGTCTATCTTGTAGAATGACCTTTTTGACCAAATTAACAAATGCATTTTTACTTTATGCAGTGTCCCTGGACCTCAGAAATCTTCAGAGAATGACACTCTTATGGAAACTGTTGTGATGGAAGCACTGTTTGTCTATGAAGAGTCCAGGAAGGTTCCTTCTGACATTAGCTGTGAGGTTGAGAATCTTTTTGTTCAATCAGATTCTGAAACCGTTGCTACCAAAGAAGAAGTTGCTGAAAGTATTGTATCAAAAGCTGATAATGCACATCCCAATATCAATGGCCAGCACAAGGTCAGGAAAAGATCCTTGGATGCTGAAGATGAATTCCTAGGGCAGTGTGTTTCTGAAGACAGTGCAGACAAAGACAAACCAAGAAGATCAAAGGAATCTGAACTCATTTCTAAAGAAAATCCTTTGTACATCAAAGGGTCTCCTGAGACTGAAGAGAAATTAGGGCAAACTTCCTCTGTAAAGTCTGACATTGAATGTAATTCTCAAAAACTTGCATCTCTAGATAGTACAGATAAATGCCAAGAATCAAAGGATGTTTCTAATAACTATATCGAAGTACCGCCTGTTAATGACTCTTCAATTACAAAGCTGGATAAAGTTTTGGAGAGTCAATTTTCTAGAGACAGTGAGGGGCTGAGTAGTAAAAAATGTGACGAATACAAACATAGGAAAAAATATAAGAAAAAAATATATGACGCTAAAAAACCTGACAAAGAGCACTACCGGAGGAAGAGAGAACACTCCGACACGGAAGAGAGGGAGAAGCAAAACAGAAGCAAAACAGATGGTCACTCTCACAAGAGGAGGTGCTCTCGCAGCATGGAAACAAATAAGCAAAGCCGTCACAAGCAGGAATATTGCAATGGTAGCAAGTACAGATCTTCCCATAATGACAGAAGCAGCCCCGATAATGGCAGAAGCTCAGGAAAGTATCCTCGGTACAGATCCCGAAGCAGAGGGAGGACGGAACAAGACAGAAGTAGGTATTATCATTCCAAAGGAGAGCGAACTTGGAGCAGAGAAAGATACTATCAGGATGAACCACGGAGATGGGAAAAGTGTAGATACTACAATGATTACTATTCTTCTCATGGAACAAGAGATGGTAGAGAGAGAAAGTTCTCTCACTGTGATAAAGACTTTGACAAATCAAGTCAAGCTTACAACAACAGGTCACATAAGGATTATCATTACAAAAGCAGATGGCTTCACAATTCACTCTCTCGAGAGGAAGATGTGCATCACTTCAGTAGTCACAGAGCAGACTCGCATCACTGTTCAGTGCCTCAGCAGCAGCACGAAAAATACTCCCGCGAAAGGCATGTGTTTCCACCTGTGTCAGCTCATTCAAATTTTGAGGACTCCTCCCAGAGCGATGAAAAAGAAAGAAACAGAAAAAGAAAATATTCCCGTGCAGAGGAGAGTGAAAGCGAATCGGAAAAGAAACGTAGAAAGGTAGAAAAAGAGCGATCAGATTCAGGTGATCAAAAATTGAAAAAATACAAGAAGGTCAAGAAGAAAAAGAAGTCCAAAGATAAACATCGAGAGAAGGATTACAAGTAAGCAAGGATTACAGCATAATCAGCAATTTTTTCCTAATTCCTTTCTGGTTGTTTCTCATGTCTTCCCCTTTTTCATTGTTTCTAAGTTATTTATATGGCAGAATCTGGCAGGGGATCATGTCAGTAAGTTGATCACGTGAAAATAGGAAAGATATGACCGAACTGTGTTAGAATGTTAGAACTGGACCACCTAGCTAGAACCACATCTGCACGCAGGTCTGGTTTAGGTCACAAGATTTTTTTTATATATATTTTTTTAATTGCACATATTCCAGAACTAGCCCTGGGTAATGATTTGTTACACACCGGGACCTATTGTCCTTCAGGCTCTGAGGGCATAAGTCTGCAACACCTAACGTAAGCTAGACGTGCAGAAATTACCACAGAGTAGCTGACATGCTGCAGATCGTCACCTGTGGTAAAATAAATAAAGTTTCATATATGCATCAAGTGCCACATCTGTTTTGCTATTATTAACTTGCATGTTTCCTTCAGACTTTATGATTTGGATTTCTCTGTGCTCCACTTTGACAATGACAATCGCAAACGTAAGAAAAAGAAGAAAAAGAAGAAACACATCAGGAAACTGAAAGGCTTCTTGGAATACTTAGATCCTCGTTTCCAGAAAAAAACACGGGAGAAGAAGGAAGAATCTCGTCCTCCAGATGACTATTTATGTGAGCAATATAGAAACCAGGGCAGTAAACAACCCTACAAGGAAGGGAAGCCTTCCAGTACTGGTGAAAGCAAGAAATACAGTTCCGTCACACCCAGCGAGTATATGAAAGGTAAGGGGCCAAAGGAAGTTTACAGAATTCTTTTTTATTCAAATGAAAAATATTATTTCCAATAGTTTTTAAATACTTGCGTGATGCAAACTGCACAGTGTATTATGCCTTCTGAATAGTCTGCACTAGTTAAACACAGCTCATAGGCTATTTTCTTTCTATTTTTGAATGACTGCTGAGAAAGGAGGCCTGAAAGACAACTGCAACGGGGTGGAGGACCAGTAATTTTAATTTGATGCGATAGTTAAGTGGGGAACCAGCAGCATAGATGCAGGATGCCCTCAGTCTGATTAACTAGTTAATTTTAGGCAGCCATATCTTGAAAATGAATTTAGTCAGTAGACAGGAGGCTCCATAGTCAAGATGGGAGATGGTGACAGGAGACCCCCAGCTAGTAATGTTCTGTTAAAACACCATCTCCCTCCCACCCCAGTCTCCTACAAAAGATTGCTAGAAAAAATGATTTCATTAAAATGCTACACTCAGCTATTTTATAATATAGGAACACTGGTGACTGCTCATTCAGAGTAACATAAGTTAGTAATAATGATGAAACATTTTTGTTTCACATATACATCTGCCTTCTGCTAAGCACACTGAATTTGCGGTTATTAACCCTCCAGAGAATGCTTTGCAATTTAATGCCTGGAGAGTACATTAAATTCCTACTACTGTTTTATTTACTTGTGCATTTCTTCTGCTGGTATAGGCTTAAAAATTCAGAGTAGCAGCTCTTTCCTAGTATTTAATATAAAAAAAATTCTATTTGGTCCATCTCTTTACAGAAAACTACATATAAGCTTGAGTGCCTAACTGAATTCATGCTCAGTTCTTTGCTGTTGCTTGTCATAGTTCTGACTTGGGACTCTCAGTAGATAATACAGTTTAAATTTATTATATTTCAAATCAAGCAATGAAGAAGACTGCACCCTGTAATAAACTCAACATCTAAAATCAAGTTTGACAACATTTTCCCAGTGAAATTTTCTGAACAGAAGTGCTTATTAGAAAAATGACTTCTTAGATTAGATGCCTGTTARCTGACATGAAGACAGAGACCCAATTAATCAGATATTTTAATAAACATCTCTAACAAGAAGATAAAATGCTCAATCTTTTAACATGATTTAATTCACTTATAGGGCTAAAGRGATGTACAGATTCAACAAAACTGTCAAGCTTTTAAAAAGCTTGATATCTTTTGAATATAGTATTAATATATAATCCAGATATTTGCTTATATAGCATATCACTGTAAATAATCAGCTAAGTTATTGGCAAGACTGCAGTTCTTAAAAAACAAAAAAAAAGACCCCCACCACAATCTATTTTCCTCTTATAGACAACTGAAGTAATCCCTGAAGAAGACAGCTCACTGTCAAAAGGAAAGTTTGATTCTTAGATTTGCTATATTTTATACCTAGCCAGAATTTAATGATTAGTTTAACCACCAGTGAYAGTCCATTAATACGCAGGTCTGCCCTATTCAAGCATAGAGAACATAGGAACTGCATCTTCTTGCAGCACAGCTGAGTTCATTTCAATATTTGAGAAGCTTCATCTGGGAACAAACTTTCCAAAATTCCCTGTGGTTTCCATGTTGAGGTGAATTGTCACAGTCAGACCAGAGTCTCTTGCACRGGAAAGTTTATTCGGGATAAGGAAGAAGTGCAGTTGTTGAAAAACCAGCATAATTGCATRCTAGGGCATTTGTGAACACCAAGTCTGCCAAATACTTGTGTTGCAAATACAGACRTTTTTAATGATGAAGCTATAGAAAGAAACCTGATTCTTCTGAATTTTAAGTATCTCTGTTCTAGATGATAAATCAGGAACAGCATAGAAGAAAACACATCTGCTCTAAAACTACTTTGGCTTTAATAAATTATCTGACCAGCAGATGGCAAACTTGGTTTTTGTTTTTCTAAACCAGATCTAAGTATAGGAAGGAAGCAAGTATTTTACATCCAGTAACACATCAGGCACGTTGTGATTGCTGGGTTGGGTAGGTGAATGAGCTGGTCACAGATAAATACAGCAGCAATACCTTGCTTGCAATGCAGGTAGGATAGGACTGGGGGTATGCAAAGCAACTAGGGTAAGTATCAGAGTTAGTACTTCATCAGAGCTAAGGATGTTAATTAGCTTTATTTATCTTGTGGAAGGTAAGTCTTAGAAAAATGGATTTCTTAAATAGGATTTTATGAAGGATAGGATCTAATCTCAAAGAAAGAAAAGCTGCTTGGCTGTGCATCGTTAGAGAGTATGGGACCTGCCAGCTAAGCTAGGGATACCTGAGAAGGAAGTRTTAAGCTTGTGCCATTCCACCTGGACTCAGGTTACTTTGAATAAATTAACAGAGATGAAATTGCCTACAGATAACTTGTGATTTAAGGAGAATAAATGAGCAAAAGGGCAGCTTTTAAACAGTTAATGTCCTGCCTCCCTGCGTGTTTTTCCTAGCAARTTACTGCAGGTTTTGCAGATAAGATGTGGTCAGCTCAACCAACATGTAACTAAAGAAGGAAGGATGTTGACATGTTAAGCCCCTAGACAGAGCTTGAGCCCTGTGTGAATGACCCAGGAGAGCTACAATCTGCTGGCCAAGCAGGTGCCTTTGTCCGACTCTTGTTGGATGGAGCAGTGGTAGGGAGCTGCCGTCAGCTTTAATGCAAGGGTTTGGGAGCCTTCCTCCCGTGCCGCTGCTCAGCAGTGAGGCCTCTGACGGGGCAGTTTTGCACTGGGGATAGTTGCATGGAATGACGGTGCTGCCTTTTGTCTTTCAGATACGGAGCTTGCTGATGGAAGCCTTCAATACTCAAACTAAATCTACCATCAAACCCAACAACCTATTTAGCATCAAAACCAACAGCCTATTTAGCATCAAACCCAACAACCTATTTAGCATTAAAAAGACAACTTATTTACCATCAAAAACAACTTATTTACCATCCAAAACCAACCTACCATCAAAACCAACAAACATCCTCAAAACAATACTAACCATCCAAACGTAAAATTATTATCAGAACAATATAATTACCATCACAGCAAAACCCAATCATAAGTGGTGCTTCAAAGTTCTGTACAGAATTTTACCATGAAAGAACTTTTTTTTAGTTTTTAACTTGAGACTTTCTTTTTTAAAATGTACTTGTAATCCAAAAGGGTGGAAACTTTCTACAACTGCTGAACATTGTAAATGACCATGTAAATATCTCACTGAAAATAATGCCCTGGAATAGAACATCTCAAATGCTGCTTAATTACAGACTCAGGTTGATTGTGTGTTATTCATGTAATGTTACTCCAAGTTAGACATCTGGTGCAAGAGAGACCAGGAAACCACGGAATTATAAAAATTGCAACTGACAGTCTGTATATTTAATTTAAAGACTTATTTAAAATTTCACAAGCTCTCAAATAACTAGAGTTTTGCTAGAGCTTCATCTTTTTTTTTCTGTGATGTCTGACACTAGAAACTTATTTACTTCACCTTCTTAGTTATATTCAAGATCTGAAGAAAATGTTCTGGTTTTCAACAGTGTGAAACATACTGATCAGAATATACTGTTCTGAATGTATCTCAAACTATTTGTATACTCTCCCATATGTTTTTATTACTTTTTTTTATATAGTGTCACTTGTCTTGACTTAGTCTCAGTTGTCTGTTTTGTCCCTCTGAAGTTTCTAGTTACAGACAAATTCATACTGTGATTTTTATTTTTATTATTAAATGCTATCAAACTGTGATGCACTTATTATTCACTGGTCCTGCATCAGGAGATGAGTGGGGAACCTGTATTAAATACAGTTCATCTGAATAATCTGTCTGGTTTATACAAGCTGTGTTGTTCAGAGATGTCTAAAGTTTGATCTTTGTTTTTTTAAAGATAAAAGCACTTGCCCCACTGTAAATATATAGCATGTAAAATTTATATAGTATATAAATACAGCAAAGTTAAAATGGATTTTACTTGAGTTTTACTTGAGTTATTTAACATGCAATATGTCATGTGAATTGACAGCTTTCAGAGTGTGTTTGATAATCAAGAAATCAGATCTTCCTTTCAGTGGTAGGTGCGAAGATGCTGTTGGTGTGACCCAGAGAAGATAAGTAAACTTGGGACGTCAACTGCCTAGACAAGAATGCAGAAGTCTTTCTCCTTTGAAGTTAAAAGCTTCCACAAAGGTTGAAAGCTCAACTGTAGCTTTCCACTGTGTGACACTAAGAAAGGAGCAAGGTTAATGTTTTACTAACTACTTAAAAGTAATATTTTGGTACATGGAGAACACCATAAAGCCAAACCATAAGTGTACCCTGCATAATGTTCCTATGGCAACAGTTATGTGACGTTACATAAAGTAACATGACAAAGAAAACGCACACCTTTCCTGTATCTGGCTTTTTTTTCTCTTTGTGGCTCCAAGATGATTTATCTTGTCTCTTGTCTGATCAGGAACTCTGGGCTAAATGTATAAAAGGAGGTTACCTGTTACCTGCAGGTTACCTGTAGAGCGAGGTGTCGTAGGAGCTGCAGCAGCCACTGCCAAACTAGCTAAGGAGGCAGCAAGCGGAGGGAGGGCCGTTCCCGCTCCGGCTCCCGGACGGCAGCGCTGGCTGGCTCTAGCGGGGCGGGGGGCGTCGCTGGAGCTTCCTGAGGAGCAGAGGGGGGTTTTATTCATAACTGCAACTCAAAGAGGGGAACTAACCAACTATTTGCTCTATTTAGGGTGGTTCTAAAGGGGATAACAGCTAAAGGAATTCAAAAAAAGCTGCAGAGATGCACTCACAGTCGGGCTTGCAGGCAAAGGATTTCCTCTCTTTAACCTAGTAACTTAAATTACCAAGTACTAGTTAATTACTAATAATAGTAATAAGACAAGCTATACAATAGTATAGTTACATACTTTATTTTTTGAGGAAAAATCTCCAGATTTAAGCAACAAGTCAATGATAAATGAAAACATTAATATTGCAGTGGATTTACATAGAACATCACATTTTTAACAGTGATTGATACAGAATATGTCATGCARATCACTTGTGTACACCAAGTAATACTTATTTCAATACAGACCTGTACAGTATTTACATTTTATATTTAAACTCTAACTAGAAATATTTTCCAAGAAAATATAGAAATGAACCTGGTAAGCCACAAGTCTTAATTTGTAGCATTTGGTCTACAACAGACCTAGCTTTTCCAGCAAGCATATCTACATAGATATGTATTAAATCTTTAAAAATACGCATTGTTTTTATATATGAAGCATTATAAATGCTGCTCAGTTTATAAAGGTTCRGTTTTGTACCAGTTTAAAACTGTTCAAAATGTTAAGTGATGCAGAGCTTATTTAGTCAGAATATCTCAAAGTTTAAGTCAGTCCAGCTGAGCTTAAGCCCGCAGTTCTCTCCCTCGCTTGGCCTGGCCCCGGGGCTGAGCTCAGGGGCCGGGTGCTCGGCTGGCGCCTGGCCCTGCTCACCTCCGCTGGCCCCCGTGGTGCTCAAGGGCGATGGCAAAAGCAAAGAGCAAAGCACATTTTCAGTGCCTCAGGAAGGAGAAGTCTCTTGTCCCCACATGACTTTTTCTCAGCATGGCCAAACTGTAACAGATACTGCTTCGGGCCACAGGGCAGCTAGTCGTGGTAACCACACCTGGACTTTCAGCCCAATAACAAGCAAGCAAACACACACAGTCGAGAGATTTTTTTTTCTCTCACCCTCTGGATAGTACCTGATTTGGCCAAAATTTTCACAAGCCACTTCGTTTTACTGGCCTCATGGCCAGTGGAAATTTTGGGCCAATTTCATTCCCTGTTAATACTGTTACAAAGAACATTTGAAATTAAATATTATCACATACAAGAATGTTATTCCATTACCTTTGGTTGTAAATTAAATAGATATATTGAGCACCACAAATAGTTGTTTAAGATGGTGCTTTCCAATGCTAAGAGATAATGCATTTCCTGCTATAATATCCTCAGTTACATGTTACTCTAAATATTATTTCTGCAGGATACAAAAAATTCAAACTAAATATAGCAAATGAACTCTCAAGGCATTTCCTTCATGCTTATAGATACACATTCTCATTCTCATCTGGTTAAATAAATAAGACTTTCTGGAAGGTGATATTTCAGAAGATAAGAATGGACACAAAAGTGCTTCATGGCTTATAAAGGCTTTTGTAATCTCCCATTTCTCCAGAAATTCTTCAAACTGCTGCATTTCAGCACTACGCTCATTAGTACCACTGAGTCTGCTTTATCGCTCCTCGCATGACAAATCTGTCAAGGCTGAACCTGATGGATGCTTTGCTTGAAACCAAAACTTTTCAAAGTTGTGGGACAGACAAATCAAAACAAGTTATTACATTCACAGCTGCCTAATCATGCCGCTTTGCAAATACAGGACACACAATTTAATTAGTGTCTATGAAGAGTTTAAATAGGTTCCATTAAGCAACAGCTTCCTCATACTGATCATTAAAGAGTTCTCAGCCCTTTGGCTGAATTTTGTTCCTTAAAAAATAATCAGATCCAAACATTTAGGTCCAATGAAGTTCTACACACCCTGGAGAAAATTCATAGTGTGAAAAGTGTACTGCATTCTTTTCTCAGCTTGTACATAGTAAAACATATAGCAAAGCAGAACATTCACAGGCTGAGCACCCATGCAAAGTGAGGCAAATGAGTAAGACACCAACGATAAAACAGACTCTCCCTTACTTTAAAAATACAATTTCAAACAGATCAAATTAATAAATCTATGTTTCTGTCAGTGCAGCACAGCCTAATGTGTATTCAGAGATGCATCTGTAACTGAGAAGCAAACGTGCTTGGACAAAGTATCAGGTCTCCAGGGCAGTCGCTGGCACTGGCAGGACTCAGTGTCAGGGCGTTTCTGGAAAACCAAGTCCCAGCAGAAGCAGCAAAACACTTCTGCCTGTGGAAGCAGTGGGGAGAGGGAAAGGGGCTGTTACCTGGATAGCAGAAGGATTTGTGGGCATTATTAACTGAAAAGCGTTGCCATAATATCTGTCGCAGCAGTAGCTTGCACTTGGTACTGAAAGACTATCAGAGTAGGAGCACAGAGTAGGAGCACAGAGAATTCAACAATTCACAATGTTCTCACAGCAGGGGGAACACACAGTTGCAGCAGGTAGTTGTGTAAGACTTTGTTCTTAAAGATAAGGATGTCCGTTCAGTTTTTCTATTTCAACTACTGAAGCACAGACCTGAAAAAATCGCCTTTAAGAATAAAATGAATACAGGGAGCATCTCTGTACGTCCAAAGTTTGTTAAGCAAGCAGAGGTCACTCCCTTCTTTCACAGAAGAATTACACCACCTTCACCCTGCTTTTTAAAAGTTAAATGCATATGRAAGTTCATGGGATGTTTTCACATGCAAAACCTAGACTCTTATAACCATTGCAAGCCTTGTCATCATACTCCTTTAGTAGTAACTTAATGTAAATTAAACTATAACATATCTAAAAARTAAGAAGGATGTTATTATATAAAAAGCAGATTAAACCAGTCATTAAACCTTACTGCTTATTGTGAGTGTATGAGCAGACAGGAATGAGTTTTAGCCTACTGGCAAGTATTAAACCGTCTGTTTACAGATTAATGAATCTGCATTCACTGTCATGTCTACAGACTCAAACCTTTGCTTTTGGGAGCTGCATATTTTTCAGTGCATATCAACCAAACCCTTTGGCACAACTAGTTAATGATGTAGCTGCCAGTTTACCCTTGAGTCGCATTTTTGAAGAAAAGCTATTTCCATATAAGATAGGAGAGAGAATTCTACATGAAAGCTTCACTCAAATGTTCATTTACCACAAAACACACAATATTTGTAAGCTCATATTAATATATTTTGGTTTTTCTGCTTACAGAAAAAAATAAGTGCTAGATCATTCTGTATTCAACTTCTTAGTGCTGCGTTTTAGTGAGAGATAAAAGTACTTACAGTCACTTCTCCTTTATAGGTAACGTGTTCGTGGAAGGGGTATAATACATTTTACTGTCAACCTGAAATTTCTTCCCTTCTCTCCCACCCAAGTACAGTGAAGTTGCAACTAATACAAGTGAAACCCAGGCTTCTGTGTTTTCAGTTGAATTAAAGTTCCAATAAAATCATCCCCTGGGATAGAGAGCTTACTTTAAATTATATGCCAATAACTCTTTATCCTGAAAGGTCTTACCAAGTTTTATGTTGYAGTAAAATGTGTATATATACAGTAATTGTCCTTTAGTTTATCCATTTTTTTTTTAATCACTCAACTGTATGCTCATTTATAGGCTGATGCAGGTATATGAGCTGCTGGCCAAATTCTATTTCTTATTTGCAATTCTTCGTTTCCTTGTCGCCAGCATATCATAGAAGGGATCCCTGCTGATACTTGCTCTATAAGAGAGAAAAGGAGTCATTAGTTTGCTTAACAAATATCTGGTTTTGAAGACTAGAAACTAGAAAGAAGACTAGAAATTTTGTTCTCTTTTCCCGATGGGTGACTCCAAAATTTTAATAGTGTAAGGGATTTTTAAGCAATAGACATCAGAATCATACATTATTTATTTAAGTGTGAGTTTACTCTCAAATAACTTACAAGTTAAAGTATAGCTTTGAAAGCTCAAATGCACTATGAACATACTAAAGATAAAAAGCGTCAATTATAAAGTCATAATCTAATAAAACTAAGGTTAAAGGTGATTCACATAAGGCTGTATATTTGTTGAAAAAAGAAAACAACAACAAACAAAAYAGATCCTCTTCATTCTCCCCATGCAAGCTGGTAGTATCTGGTCCTAGGAGAATAGTGCTAACAGGAGATTCAATAAATCTTGSTCTTACAGCCCTGTACAGCCTGTCATTAATCCTAAGAATAGGACACTGCTTCATCAAAACTGTTCAAACAACTTGCAACAAAATGTTCTTAATATCTTATTCAGAAAGGAATTAGAATTCATTTCTGAAAGATATTTCAGATTCTGAACTCACTTGATCGATTTAATCCACTCTTCCTTTTCTTCTGGGGTTGGAGCAGATATCCTATATACTACATGGTTGCCTTCTACCACTCTACCATCAGCTTCAGTTTTACAGGCTTTAATTACTTGACCTTTGTGACTGGGGTTATAGAGCTCAAAGCAGTTCTGCAGAATAGAAATTAAGAAATCAATTTAAAAAAGTCAAATATTTCCATTTAACTAAATTTAAGTTACATATGGCTTATTATATTCATTAAAAAAAAAGGATGGAGATGATGATCATGATGATAACATCTTACTGGTTTTCGAGGATCTTCAACTTCTCTTATACTAAGATTTTCCAAAGGAATAATTCCTCTAGGTTCTTTGTCCTAAATAATAATAATAATAATTTTAAAAGTTTTAATCACATTACTAGCCCCTTAAAATCCTTGATTACAAATATAGCTCACTGTCATATATACTCACTGTTGTGTATTCAAAATAATATAGGCAATTATCAGTCAGAATAAACCATCTTCGTTTCCACGTTTTCACTCTTCCCCCTATAATTAAAGGTATTGCTTAGTTATATGTGTGTAGCTGTCAAGGCTTCAAAAATGGAAAAGAAAGTAATTTGAGTGCACTGTTGTATTTTTCAAAATACGGCTCAGAATCTCAGTTGCAAATGGATCAGGCACAGATGAGCAGAGAATTAAGGAATACTTCCTGCAGCTCCTCTTGTACTAACATCCAACAATCCAACGTGAACAATGGTGTTGCTGGCCATCCTCACRTGTTTTACGCTCTGAAACTTTGAATGTCCTTTCTCTTAGACTGGAACACAACAGTTTCTTAAGTCAGATCTGTTTCCTGTGTGTAAGCCATCTCATCTGTTCACTGCATCAATAATATTAATATTTATGTAGCCATCAGCGTTGCACAGTGAGTGCTGCAAAGGGCAAGGGAGATGGATCACCAACAGAATTGATCCCTGGGTCCCAACCACAGGACCAGCCCTGGCCACAGTCTGTCTAGTACAAAGGGCCCATCAATATAAATAAAGGCATTTGGTGACTTTCATTTCACTGGTGACCACACATGTCCCTTCCTTATAAGTGTTGAGGTCACGCTGAAGGAAGCTGTTCCTTTCAGAAACACCCGCGATTGTGTCAGCCCCTTCAGCTATTGTTCCGCTGTGTCCTGTAGTGCTTCTGTGCTTTAATCTTTCATAGTTACATTATTTGCAAAATTCATTTCCAGGAAAGACCGAACGACAATTGTAGATAAAGAATCCCCGTGTTATTAATACWATCGTGCAGCAGAGCTGCATGATATCAGCATTAGGTCACCACCTGTGCATCATCCATTGAGCAGTGATTCAATCTCATTAACCCAACGTCTCAAGGGACTTGACCGTTATTGAACACTCTTGCATTAAAAGGAGTGCCTTTAATATCCACAATGCCTCCAAATCAGTCACATAACCATAATCTTTTTTATCTTTTTTTTTCTTTACTTGTGATACCTGCTGTTTTGATTAATAAATCCAAACCATATTAAGTTCACAGAATAATTCTCAGAACATCATGGAGCTTTTTGATTTTGGCCCATTGTACGTTCACATTATAGAGCAGGTCCTTTTGCACGACGCATCTTTGGCTTTAGGATCTACATGACAAGGCAGAGCTAACAAGCATGTTCAATGTGCTCAGATTTTATACTTCCACTACAAACACACTCATCTTAAGAAAAATGTACTCTGCAAGCAGGTGTGGTAAAGCAAAAGGAGAAGGCAAAGTAGTGCAAGATGCAGAAGCCATGACAAAATGAAAGGTCAAGTGAACTGCAAACAGTGAGGGAAGAACTGGTAGTGTTTTAGTATAAGCACTGTGACAGACAGTAATACAGCACTGTAGGAAAAAAAGCATTGTAGAAACATTGAGCTTGTATTTGAACTTCCCACCAAGCTGACYGAAAGATGGTTCAACTATAAGGGCAGGGATCGTGCTAGGGATGGAAAAGCCAACGAACTTAAGCTCAGCTCACTTCTGGATCAAGGAATAAGCAACCACCAGGTCAAGATGATGCCAGCACAGCTCTACCTTCCTATCACTGTAATGTGACGTATTTTTCATACAACGTAATATTCTGATTTTAAATCACGGATGGTCTGCCCCATAAGACTTTTGTATATATATTATATATATATACACACACATATATAATATATATATAATGTAATAATAATAATAATAAATAWATATATATATAAAGCTAAAAGGCATATATAAAAAGCTAAAAAGCAACACCARCTTCCATCATCTTTCACATCCTGGCCTGTTCTAGACAACCCAGCAGGAGAGAGAACAATATAGCAAGATGGGCAGAAAAATATTAAGGTTCAGGAAAAACAAAAAGGCAAACTGGTTATTATTGCAGAGGCAGCTTAAACCGAAMGAAGGACTATTTCATAACCTGTACAATAAAATCAGGTAAGAACCGTATATTTAAAAGAAGGTCTGCTTGTAATTTAAGGCAGAAACAATGGATTAAACAAATAATTCCCAGAACAGTATAAAGTATCATCTAGAAATGATAACAGTGTTCATTGAGAACTTTTTAGTAATATCTCCTCTTTTGTAGAGGAGGACTTCTCAAACCCGAAACCTTTTTGTAAATATGCTGCAATTTCAGTGAAGCTTTGTCATGAAACATCTCCCAGCTCCAGGATAAGTTTGATGTTGAAGCCAGAAGGAGGATTAAATATCTCCACTGACATCCCTCTCCCTTCACCCTAAAACAGGCAGCAGCTGGCTGGGTTATGGCATACGTGTGAGTTACTGAGATAGACCTTCCAGTCTGTGCTCCACTAAGCTATGGATTACTTACAAAGAGAGAAAAAAATAAAAAAGCACAGCGAGGTTTTTGCTTGTTTGTTTGTTGTTATGATAAAGAATTTTCTCATATACAGATCTCTATACCCTCACCCCCTTATACATATTAGTTAGGTGCAGCTGTCAGCAGACAGAAAAGCTTAAAGGTGTCCTGGACTCAGGGAGCTTGCAGGTCCCAACAGCACACACATTAACACAGACTTAACACACCTTGACAAGGGCTTACAAACCAAGAAGCTCCCCAAAGCTCCCCAACAGCCTTTTTGGGCCATTAACACTGCATTTAAGAATAATGGGTAAGATCTAGCAGCAGCAAAACACTTTTCCCTGACAGAKAAAGAGGTAGGATCAGAAAACACTGCCAAAGCCTTTGGAATTGGGCTCCATATCCAGCTCCAGCTGACTGTCTTCTAAAGATTAAAATGTAAAGGAATTAAGGTATTGGAACAGGACCAGAAAATGTCAGAATATGAACCCATATACATGTATAGAAATGAAGAGAGATACACAATGTACTTCTCATAATCTGGCTTATTAATTAAAATGAAATCTCAACAAAATAAAGAAGCATAACATTAGTAGGTGGAAATACAGACTGTAAGGAAAAGTCACAGAAGGGAAAGCTTAGCCTATGTTGCCTAAATATAGGATTTTTTTTCCAATCCTTGACAATGTACAAACTAGAGAACAAAATTAAAGAAAGTCTTACTAAAAAGAAAAGAGAACTGCAGTAAAAAGGATTAGCAAGGCAGTTAGGAACCAAAGGGCAGACAATCCTACCCAAATCATCAGCACATCTGTAGTAAAGTTTTGAAAGGAGAGGGGAAAAAAAAAAAAAAAAGACATAAAAAAAAAAAAAAAAAAAGACATCAAGAATGCTTTTGCTTCTTGCATTTAGCTACCACTGGGTAGAATGACTCTGGAATACACATGCAGTGGATGAGATCAAAGTTTAGGTTTCTTTGCAAGAGAAGTTTGTTTCAGTTGCATTAACTGCTTCAAATTAAAACAGCATAAGCTCCCGAGAGACACAGACAGGCACAAGAAAGGTCAGGTTCCCAACCACTGACCACTCTTCTGTCCTGCATTAGGGAGAAGAAATGACATCCCCTCAAGGACCGATGCCTGGGAAGGAGCATCTCGGAGCACAGGCTTGGAGATTAGCTTCCAAGCTCAGAGCAGCCGCCTGACCGGCTGAAAACAACAAATAACACAGTCATGTGTCTAGGTTGAATCATTTCCTCCTCTCCCGTTCAGGGGAATGGTGTCACAGTTTCCCTCTAACTAGGAGGAAGTGTTACACAAACCAAGACGCTCGCCAAAAGACTCTGTTTTAGACCAGGAAATGCCTCCTTCTGCAAATGATTGTTTCTAAGTATTAGGACACTGAGCACTTGGTCCAAAACTTCAGTCCATAAGGTGGTTAGTAGGAAAYGTTGTAGCACCCACATCACTAACATTACATAGCAGGAAAAGCCAAAAGCTACCAATAGTGGATATAAATGAAGAATCATTAGCTGTCAGCAGCCTTAATATTTTTACCTAATGCATTCATTTTCATTCATACCATCCTTAAAAGACGTAAAACTGAATATTGATTCAGTTTTACTGAGATAAAGATGTCTACATAAATGCATTAACTGAATCTGGATAGACGAAAYCAAATTTTTGTATGGCTGCCAGTTTTGGCACTTGGGTTCTGCAGGCCTGACTTGCATCAAGTCACCTCTGAATCTTCAAAGCAGAAACTTCACAAGAGCAAGTCTGCTGCACCCACGAGGCTTCCAAGACTTTTCACAATGCATGATCACAGATGGGAAGGTCTTCAGGACAAGTGAATTTCAGAATATATGAAAATATCCCAATACTGAAAAAGTTCAGCCAACAGAGCAAAAGTCTTAACAAAACTGATGACTTGAATAAGTCTTACACAGGAATAGAAACACCTTAGCTTTTCACCAATACTGCAGCATTTAATACCCACAGCTCCTCTGAACTTGAAGAATGCTCTGCTGCTTTCAGAATAACTGTTTCCCAACAGAAACCTAAACATGTTWATTTCTGGTCATTGCACCTTCACTAGCAACACATATTTGCTGTACGAGTCTCTGTCTGCTAAGAAAATTTGGTCCTGAAGGCAGAGCAGCTTCACATATTTGCAGCGTGATTCACAGGAGGATTCCGGACGTGTTGCGCTTCCTTATTGCAATAACCCTTGTGCTGGGGGAGTTCTGAGCACAACACCATGCACATTCACACATGCTTTTCCTGCTGGGTTTTCAGTGTAACATCCTTACACTGTGTGCAATGAAAGATCATTTTTATTGACGTCATGTGCCAGAGAGGAAGGGCAAAGTTCCTCCTGCTTTACAATGCAGTTACACATTGAAGCTGCCAACGACTGGCTCTAGCAGAGCATGTGCTGGTGTTTCATATGGAAGAGGTTTAATTCTTTGAAGAACAAAAGTTGCCATGAAATTTCAGTGACTGTTTTATATAATTAAAGACCCATCAACCGTAAGGCAGAATAATTGAAGGTAGAATTCTTGCAGTGCCAGAAGGCTGAGAACACCAGAAGTTTCAGCAACCTTGTGCTCATTTTAGATGTTTTAAAAATAAGCCAAATACTTGCTTTATAAAGGAAAATAAGAAAAAGTGACTTATGCATAGCTCACTTGCAATCAGTCTTTCATCTCTCTAATGAATTCTATGTTCAAGTATCCAAATATGCTCTAGAACATCATTGCAAGAATAAGACAACTGTTGTACTCTCAGCAGAAATTACTCTCTCCATTACGCTCTTCAGTGAATGTGAGAAGTGCRCACACAAATCACCTCCGATTTCTGCTCTACAAGGAAACGTTTCTTCTTCTGCAGAAAATACTTGCATGTGAGTTAAAGAGTGATGGCCCAGTCTTTTGTAGACAGGGTACCATTGATGATACTGTTAGTGACACTAAGTGAAAAAGTAAAAAAATAAGAAAAAAAAAAAAGAAAAAAAGCAGGAGGAAGGGGGAGGAAAATAAAAGAATGAGCAACAGAAGAGGGGACTGGAAGCAATCAGATACGTACCTCCTAATGCAGAATAAGTAGAGACAGCCAGTCACAGAACAGAAAGGTGATAGGTCATAGGCCATAAGGAAAACAAGAAGGCACATTTAAACCACTCATTAAAAAATCATAGCCAAAACCAAACCAAGAGAAACTCACAAATAATAGGGAAAAATAAAGACATACAAAAATAACTACTTGAACAGAAATCCTTTTTTGCATACAGAAAACTGAGTCGACATATCATACAGTTTTCTAAAATGACTTCATGGAGACTTAGTTGTTATTTATCAGTCATGACACGTGGTAAATATTGCACAGAGTTTTCTTTCCTTTGCTGAGCACTCATTTCTCAAGCATCAGAAATAAAACTCTACTCCAAAGTTTACAACAAGACTGCTAATTTGGAGAAGTAATGTAAGAAACAACAACCTACAGTTTGGAAAGAAATTACTTATTATTAGTTTGTACATTTTATAAAACACAGATAACAAGGTTAATCTCATTAGAGTTGCAAGATGGCAGTCAGACAGCGAAGCGGCATACGTGCTACAAATAAACTAAACAAACAGTAGCAAAATCACATTTATAACTAACCTAATTTCAGCAGCCAACCTTCTCTATCTGGATTAAAAAATGTGTGCGTTAGATCATTTCCATCATCTTCTGGAATTTTAAATGGCTCATTCTTAATACTTTCATATAAGTTCTAGAAGAATAAGAAAAAGGAAAAAAATCATTAATCAGCATCTATAAGCAATGCACTCTAGATATTCAACAGCTTCTCAGATGGTTTATGTAAAAAGCATAAGAAATATGCGCTAAAATTTCAAACCATCCCTTCCCAATCATGACTTACTACTCTTTGCAAGTTTACTTCTTAATTATTTTAGCTATAAACAGATGTCTCTTTACATAGTTTTTACATGTACGTCTCTGTAAAGACGTATTTTTCTGCAAGTCTGGTGGCTCAGGACTTCAAGGGCTTCAGCTTCTCTCACAATTCTCAATTAGTACAAGCACTGTCAAATGAATCCGAGTTCTAGGAAAAAACTTTATCACAACATTACAGAAAGATATATTATGRAGAGAAACATCTTTACTGATATTTCAAAAGACAGGTAAAAAAAACTTCCAGAAAATTCACGTAAGAGAAAGAAACGTAATAATAAAATAGAAAAATTTCTACTGTTTTCCTGCTTTCTCTGACTTGCACAGAAACGCCCTTTTTTGTAAGACATTTCCACAAAAATTTTGCCATAAGCAAGTCTAAGAGATTTACTGTCCTCTGATTACTGTCCTCTGCTCAGCTGAATAAGGAGAGAATTAAATCAAAGAAGCTGCAAATATCACAAAGCACTTCTTTCAGTTATTCAGATGGTTAGGCATGCTAGAAAATGATCTTCTTACTTTGCATGACAAATCAGTCTGAGAACTGTTATATGTGCTTTTAAGTTCCCCACTAAAAATACAAACACATATGCATTTTCTTCCCCAGCTCAACTCACCCGTAGCAACTCTTCTGGAAGGTCTCCACCTTCATTAATTCCACGATTCATAGAAATAAATCTCTCTACTGTTGGTTTATCTCTTACATTGTGGTTGTGCAGACTGGTATTTAGCATAATGATAGCAAATGACAACACATAGCATGTATCTGGAATAAGATTTAAGAAGAATCATTAAAAGAAGATTTATCTTTCTCTATATTGTGGTACTGAAGAAACCTGCAAAACAAATATGTAGCTCATCTTGAATGACAGAGAAACAGGTCATCCAAAAATCCCCCCCCAAACATTACACATGAAATCAAAGCCTCAAATGTTTCCCTTGAGTCTAAAGAAATATCTAATAACCTAATATCTAACATGCTGGCAACTTCAAGATTTTGTTTTCTATTCTCCTTTTAGCTGTGGCAGATCTGTTGTATCTTATCTTTTTCGTGACCTATTTGTTCCTCTATTTAGAATGATCAGCTTACTAGGTGTATTGAACAAAGCGGACCAACAAGCTCCAGCACATCTGAATTAGGAGCTTTAACAGAATTAAAACGTCAGTTGATTATTAAACACTGTAAAACAGCACTTATATCTGAAACCTTGTACATGTCCTATGCTACAATATTCTATTATCAAAGTTATATTTCCTTTTTAATGACCTGACTAATTTTAAAACAAGTAATTCAATTGAAAACGGAAGTGCATTTCTAACTGAGATAATTTACTGCTGAGCAAATGCTAAAGAGAAAGGATAGAGTCTGTATAAGAAAAAATTGATTACTTTCTAGGTTATATACTACAGTCATTTATTAACTGGATTTGATACATAGATAGTCACRTATAAAATGCTTATAATTGACAGAAGAGACTTTCTAACTTATCTTACTAATCTCTCTAAACCCAAGTCTGTGTACCACGAAATATCTTCAAGGTTGCTCTGCCAATGCTGCCACTCTGCATGTCTGTTTTAAAGGATTCATGTTCCCTGACTGGTCATTTTTCCTGACTTTCCCAGTTTGTCCAACATCAACCATTTATTTCTTATATTAAATGAAATTATATATAATATAATTAATAATTAATAATAATAATTAAGAACTGATGTTGCTTTTTGCGACTAACCTGTAGATTGAAAGACTCCTGGGTTACAAAGACAGTAACGTGAAGCAAAAGCTTCCATCATACGGTCAATTTTTTGAGCCTCCCCTGGGAGCCTGAAGCTCCACAGAAACTGCCTAGAGAAGGGAAGAAAAATTGTTAGACACATCCCAATACTTACATGTTAAGTATATATTGCTAATAATCAGAAACAGAATCAACAACGTGTATATAAGATGTCTTTAAAATATGCTCTTGATCTCTCAACACACAAGTCAGGAGCTGCTATAAAGCAACATGCACAGATGGCTAGCCCAGTAACTCAGCCAGCAACACCGCGTGGCATCAGGCAAGATAATATGGTCGCTCAAATTCAGAGTCTCTCTTTCCATATTAGAAAACAATCTTCTGTATGCATCCCATTTTTGTCATGATAACAATACAGAGAAACAAAATATTCAATACTATCAGGGGTTTCTAACTACTAAGAGTAACATACGCTTTATGCTAGAGTTTACGTTGTAAAAAGAAAACTTGACATAAAATATTTCAGGTGGAGGATAGAAGCAAGGAAGACAAAAGCAATTATCATTATTGGAACTCCTCAAACATAAAAAGGTGCTTTGACAGAAGCTCTGCCTGTCTAGTATAYGCTCATCCTACATCAACTGTGTCCAGATTTTAAAAAGAAAGACTCATGATATAACTTCTGTAATTTTCTAATATATGGAGAAAATCTATGCTCCTCTTTGGCATAATGAACTGAAAAATGAGTTTCTGCTTTCAAAGGTTACTGTTTCGGCATATAAGTACATTGGAATGCATACAGGGCAAACATCACAGCCGATCTACTTTCTGGCATACTGTGGAGCTAAAAAGCTAGAATGCTAGAATAAGCTAGAATCACTTATTCTTTTCTTCTCTTCCTTTAGCAAGAGAATAATCTAAGTTAAAATAGAATCCAAAACAGCGATGTTACATGCTTTGCCATGCAAAATAAGATCCCCATTTCCCTGCAGACTGCCAATAAAATAACCATTTATTCCTGTCCTCACGAGTTTTCATTTTAGAAGATTATCAAGTTGTCACAGGCCATCTTTTTTTTTTTTTTTTTTTTTTTTGGTCTCTTTTACTTGCCTTGTGTGAGGTTCCAATCCAGAACAGGAATTTGGGAAGCTACCAAAATACAAACATTTAACAGTAGCGACTGCTAAGGAAGAATAAAGTCAAACCTAACATTAAAGTGGGTAAAGGAGGTGGAACACGAGGCATCCCAGGCAAGCCTCAGGGAGTGCAAATTATCACCACCACGTAGCTCCCCCATAGCAAAGCTGCTGGGCTCCACGTCTCAAGGCACAACACTGGAGATACAAGTCACACAACTAATTCCATCTAGCTAGAGTCAGGAGAGAGATACTTGTGGCAGTGTCAGAAGTCTCTAATCCTACTGAATGTGCAGGATTTATCATGGATTTCTTCTACCAGGAGAGGTCAAGGTCACTGTATACTGCCATCCCAGAGATGGAAGTAAACTGTTCACTTAGCTAAGATACAGGTATACTAAGATAACAAACTTCCCAGGTGAAAAGAGAGAAATTGTGAGGAAAGCAGAAGGAAATTACTTGTTCCAAAGTTCACCTTTTTGCAACTGAACATAGTCACTGACTACAGTCAGCAGGACTTTCTTTCAGAAGGAACAAGTTGAAATGGGAAGAGAGGAGAAAGGAGAGAGCAGCAAACAAAACGATTTGTTCAGCTCAGGGGTCTGTCTGTTTTAACCTATCTCTACCTTAAGCTATAAGATAGTTCTTCAAATATTTGGCAGGCGCACTAAAGTGCCATGGCACTTTTAATTATCTGTATTTGTCTGAAATAATTGATTCTCACCGTCAAAGACAGCATACATAAAAACAATTGGAAAAGGTTAAACAGTTTTCTCTGCTAACTTGCACAGTAAAGCATATAATCATGCTGAGCTATAGGTCAGCTTTATGATGAGTAAGTCAGCGTAAGTGACTCACATGAACGTGCAACATGATAAAGGCAGCTCAGGTCAAAAAAAGGAAAGACTTTACCCACCTTAAAGCTTGTACAAGATTGAGATCAGCGAACTCATGGAGTTCAACAAAAGCCTGGAGAACTTTAATATTAAATTCGTCTCTGCGAAAGACAGAAATGGAAACAGACATGGGTTTATCATCATTTCCATCCTCCTTGAGAACAAACAAATAAATACTCGATAAAATGATCAAATCAGAAGAATTTTTCACGCATTTGAGGTTTTCTTTTTTTCTCCTCCAGACTCATTAGTAGTGTTTTACCCAATGTTTCATTATTGCAGTGGCCACAATGAAAGCTCACTAACATCAGGGTAGGTCTTGAGTGGGACCTCATCTCACCTATCTTTTAAATTGCTACATAAAGCATGAGTCAAAGTATGATTCGTCTGACACAAAGGTGTTTAAATGCAAAACCAATATTTAAATATAAATGAACTCAAAGTGATTTGGATGCAGACAGAATTTAGACTGCACCATCAATGAGCTCGTCTGCCATAAGCATAAAAGGTTTATAATCCTTAGGGTGTGCTTTAAACACATCACCAAAACAGAATGCTGCTTATCAGCCTCCACCCAAAAATAAGCAGCTGTGCATCCACCACGATTATCTCCTGCACTACTGACTGTGTGAGCTACACCGACTGTGTGTAACCAACCCGTAATATCCACAGGTAAATACTTCAAAACCAACCATTCATTCATTAAGATGACCCCCATACTGTTTACAAAAAATCTACATGAGCTCTGTCAAGAAAAGAGCAACTTGCATCAAATTCAGTAATGAACAATTTAGCTCTGTAACTATTTTTCAATGCAGTGAAATAACCCACTGTAACTATATCACTAAATACAGTACTCAGCAGGGGTACTTTGTTCCTATAAACAAAATATTGATCTTGCTTACTTGTGCACAAAACTGCAGTAATTCAGAACAAGCGTTAGACATATATATATATATAAAATGTTCTTATGTAGACTGGATTAATAGTGTTAGGCACAGCTCCACAGACTGCAGCCCACATACCACAAAGGGTCTAGAAAGCCACTTATAAAAGATTAAAAAGTTCTTAAGACGCRGGTAATTCTTTACTTAAAAATAAGGTTAATTCATGTTTTATTTACTGCACTTTTTTAGATATCTTCTTATTTAATTTTGCTGTTTGTTTTTTCCAATTTACAATGTGCTGTATTACTACATACTAATATAATCCAAGAATTTAAAATACATCCATGCACATTACTGAAAAACAAATTGCACTTTCAGCTGCATCCTCTTTAATATTACATATTATTTTAGGAGGTAAAACAAATTACTTGCTTTAATATTGCATCACTTGTAGAAATGGAAGAAAACCAAAAACAATGGAAGTGACTAGATATATTGAAAACAAACTTAGTTTAAAGCAAAACAAAATAGTTTTTTTTTAATTCCTTTTTTTACTTTAGCTGCTCCTGAAAATGGATATGCTGATTCTGTCTTGAATAGTAGTATTATAGTAGCAGAATAGTAGTATTATGTTCATTTTCTCACTTTTCTTAAGCTTTTATCACCCACTTGATAAATTCATAGGAAATTCCCAGATCCAATTTACCATTCAGTGCCACTCTTTATTTGTCTGTAGTTAAATGTTGAGGGGGAAGGGGGTTTAAAAGAAAAAAAAGGGGGGGGGGGCAAAAAAACACAGGAAGACACCACTGAATTCCATCTTCACCAGTCTACCTAATTCTTATTACTGAATATTGTTCTACACTTTCAGCTTGCTTTCAGAGCACTGTTGCTGTCCAGCTTCGAATGCAGAAAAACTTGCAACAAATTTTTGAATTTTAAATGTGAACCTATAAATAGTGACATGACTATTCATGATGACTCCAGTGGGACTGGATGTATGATAAGAGCTCTTTCTGCATGAATAAAGAGGTTTGAGGGCTAGGGCTAGAAAAACTGGAATTATTTCAGAACACAGTACCCMAATATAACACCGCTCTCTTAAAAATGAGCAGAGAGAGCTTCATAAAAGCTCTGTTATAGCTGTATATTAACATTCATAACTATGAAACTATCTGTAATAATCGTACAGTACTGTTGATCCAAATATTCCAGAGAAATTTCATAATACTTCCTACAAAATTCTTCAAATGCCTGAATATATGCTAGAGAAACTTTACAGGGAAAATAAATTTTCAAAAAGACACCTATTGCAGTGAAAACTTTCACTGAATGTATCAATTCCAGGAGGAAATTGCTGTGCACCAATTAAGCCCTTGATACTGCAAGCAGATTCTGGATGTCTCTAAAGGAGCTACCAGAACACTTCACTACAGGCATGGAACCTTTCATGAGTCAACTTTTAAACTTGCACAGCTGGCACCAAAAGCTGAGCGTGTGCAAGCACGTATGTACACATACTCCAACTTATTCCTGTCTCTTTCTGCAGCAGTTTTCAAGCTCAGTTCCTGGAGCAGCACCTCCACGGAAGCAAACTTGCATGTTCACTGCACTTCAACTGCTGCCTGTTTCCTGTCCAGGAATGTTATGGGAAATCTATGTGCAGAGCAGAAGCCAACACTACAACCTGCTTACGACACCTGCACAATTTTAATAAATAATTTCTTTACATCCTGATTATCAGGAATAATATTTTTTATTTACCTTTCACCAAGATAATCGCCAATTACTGTTTTATTCAATCCTTCTCCTTTATACAGGAATTGCGCTATGTCTTCTGCCGTGTTTTGCAGGAGGTCATTTTCTATCAAAAATTGTATTCCCTAGAAGGGCAATTACAGAGAAAAAGGAATGTTATGCTTTCTTACACAAACACATATGTAAATATTGCTTTTGAGATTTGGATAAATAAAATAACACAGATATACTATATATACATATACATATTCTGAACTGCATTAGTCTATAAATTAAAAAAGTAGTAAAAAAGAGTTCAGTTACATAAACAATACTCACTATTAATTTATAGATTAGAAAAAACACATTTTTAAGGCTAGAAACACTACCTTGCAATTAAAATTTCTCAGCTACAGAAATAAGAARTATTATTTTAGTTGAACATGATTTTACATTACTCTCTAGAGTTAATTTGCAAGTTAGCCTGTTCACCTATTGCATAAATGTGTGCCAAGCAGCAATCTACAAAATCTTATAATGAAGAGGTATACAGGAATAACTTCATTACCTCCATGACACAAAATAAAGTATCTGTTATAATTAGCAATCAGCAACCCAATACATCAAGCCCCTACTTGCATAGGAGTTGTGGCTGAAGATACTGAAACCGGTTTAAAGAGAGGATGGTAACTGCTGACTCTGTGATTGTCACTGATCTCTGGATGTGCTTGAACTGAGCTATTAAAAAAGGACTCTTCCCCGAAACCAGCTGAGCTTTTTCCATGGAGCTTCTGTTGAAGCACGGGAGAAAGGCAGAAAGTGCTTCATGAAGACCCTGCAATTCTGCCCTGCCATGAACTACTGACTCTGCAACTTGTGCTGCCTAGGGATGCCCAGAGAATTTGTGCAAAGCACTAAGAAAGGAGGTTAAAAGTTGTATCAAGATTTAAAAAGTATGGAAATTATGGTATTCTAATATCATCATGGCATCAGCAGGTCATGAACAAGCATCTCTCTTTTCTTCCACCTCATGCCCTAACAATAACATCAATATTCCTGCTCATTCCACTAGTATGGGCCCATGTTAAGTAAAAAAAAGCAGAAATGGCAGCTAGAGGCAAATACAATATCTTAGATTAAGAATGTGCACAGAAAAGCTTAATGAAATATTGAAAATCTTTTCCATTAGAATACTTGATAATTTTAGGAATAATAATGTTTGCACTTTCTACAAATGACATATGTCTATTTATTTCATTCCAACTTGGAAAGCTTTCATTATTTTTGGACAAAGCAGACACGAGGTCCCACAGTAACCCTCAAAGAAGCAATTATCCTTCYGATCAGTTTATTGCTTTTTTTCCTTTTGTTGTTGGTTTGTTTTTATAATTACCAGCYGTCTGACAAAAAAAGAACCCTCGGTTTTCTGACCTACTTTGGAAACAAAAACAATTTGTGATGTTACCAGTCTTGAAGTATTAAAAAACTATAAAGACACATGCAGGTTCCTGAAAATGATGATGGAAATGACTAGAATAAAGGAAAACAAATTTCTTTGCACAGAAGCAGACATTTTGAGATGCTACAACTTTTTTTTTTTTTTTTTTTTTCCTCCCCCTCTCCTTAGAGTCTTAAGGAATCACAAGGCAAACAGACAGGAAAAGGAAATTTGTCTGGGACAACTGTACTGTCTGGAATAAACGGTAAAATAGGCTAGCCAAAACCCCTCTACTCCTACACTATCTTTTGAATCCTTGTAACTTTTTTCTGCAGTCTGATATTAGACAGGCGATTTGTGTTAGTTTGACCTCCCACACAAAATACACACTTACAGCAATATTTAATATTAAATTAAAATATTGCATAGATTTTCTGAGAGTCARTGCAGTGAAATCGGCTTTGAATTTCACAGTTTTTACAGTAACTTAATTACAAATTTTATTGTTGCTTACATTCTGCCTTTAGACAGGATTCATTTCCAGACAGAACCGACTTCTAGTGTTGTGAATTTCAAGCACAACTTCATGTTCCCAACACAGGGATCCTTGGAGCATTTACAGACTCTGTCATTACAGCCCCTTCCACACCAGCAATCCAAATACACAGAGTTACATGATACTATATCACATAACTACATTAAACACCAYTATTTTGAACACAGACGGTTTGTTTGTTTTTGCTTTGTTTTCAAGGGAGAGGAAGAATAATTGCTCTAAATTAGATATCAGAAAATTTAAAGGTCTTGAAATAWAATTGATTAGAGCAATTAGCTCTATATATTCCTGCCTGCAAGAGCAAGYTAGCTTTTTTATTATTATTATTTGCTTTTAAAGAGAGAATTCAGGGAATTCAATGCCTGTATAGTCATCTCATTTCTGACTGTGTAGACCATATTTGTTCCCATTTAGGAATGAAAAATGTCCCTTCCACAATGACCTTAAGTTAATTCTCTCAAACAACATTAGAAGGATACGTATRTTAGCCGCCTGTAGTTCAAAATAGCAGTTACTACCAAAGAGATGAGGCAGCTTTAGAGCAGCCAGCTATTGCCGGCCACCACTCTTCCCCAGACATTATTAAGGAATTACTACCCTAAGTCAATTTACCACATTTAAATTATGTTACAGTAGCAATGTGGCCACAGCACCTATTTATAGAAATCATCTCACCCACCAATAAAAACCAACTCACATTGCAATGTGAGTATTCAACATCATTTTCTGATTTTACCACAAACTTCTACAAGGCAAAGGAACTGGAGGAAAMAACATATTGTGAGGCTATTTGAGGATATTCTGTCCTCAACAGAACCAAAGCCAGAGGGTCACCAAAACAGAGAAGAAAAATAAAAGATATGGTCAATGGCTTAAAGAGTTATATATCACCAAATCCTCAGGTGTTTAAGCTAAGCTGAAAATAACCCTCAAGAGAACAGTGAACATTACTGTATTTGGAACATTACAGAAAAGGCACCAAATCACAACTGAATTCAGTATGACTGGAAAGAAAAGACATCAAGAATAAACAAAACAAAACGCTTTACTGAAGACTTTTAATAACACTTTCAAAATTCGTTAAGGACCCCTCAAAAATTCAAAATATAGTCTCAATGAAGACGACAAAAATAGGGGGAGAAAATAGGGGAAAAAAATTAAAATTTTTCTGTAATTACATTTGCGTATCAACACAGAACAACTCTACCAGATGCAAATAACCTTTCTGCAATCAATATCTAGAATATTTGATTGTTGATGAATATTTTCTATTATCAAAATCCTTGAGTGAAAAAAGCATACATGACTGAATAAGGACTAAATGATTGTACCAATTATAAACATCTGCCTAGTATATTGCAGGCTAGACAAATGAGGCCTCTGAATACAATGCTACCAGGAAAGTTTTCTTAAAGAAAACAGAAGGCATTTGCCTTAAATCACATCAGTCCCAGGAACCTGACTCCTAACAAATAGAAAAGATACTCTACCTTCTTAGGATCCATGTTAAATTTCTTTCTTCCCATAGCTATTTGCTTATTTCTTTGTGTTGCTTTGCTGCACATGAAGAAAAAGAAAGAAGAAATAAAAAGATTATCAGTTGTTCTTATATAACACAATTTCTGAATTAACCTCTTCACTTGTGCTTTGGCCAATTTTGTAATTTCTGTTACAAAACAGAGACATTTACTTTTTTACAAAGGGAAAAATATATCACAGTTTTAAATTATTTTAAGTGATCACAGCTTTAGACAGCCGTATCATTATTAACAGAACAAATTATCGCATTCTATCCAATATGTCATTGTCCAACATATCAAAGGAAAGATGCATCCAAATGGAGTAAGACCTTACAACAGACTGCAAAGAGTGATCAAATGTTTGTATAATTTATTAAAGCTATTTTTATTTATTGCTCCTAAAAGACCTGCTTTAACATGTTACTGAAGCATACCCATATTGTTAGCATTACTTACCTTTCTTCTACGCTAGTCAGATTATCAATTTCTGTCATAACTTCAGCAATTTCAAACTTTAATCTCTGCAAAAGATGAAAATAATCTAACCAACACTAAAACACTTTTTTGAAATCAGCTAGCGTATATGGATATAATCAATTAGTTTGGGGCTTTTGAAGTATTTACTGGTCAAAGTAAATACAAAGTTCATTATTCCACTTGCCTTCAATGTCAGATTCCTTCATGACTTTCAATATAAGACTTTTTATCTACTATACATGTTATTACACAAATCAAGAATGTGTGCATATGCACATGCGATATTACATAAATACAGACATCTTAAATATATATAAACACTGCATAAATCCTACTGTTAATTTCTACAATTTAGATTAAGTCATTTAGATGCTTAGAAAACATTATTTGTAGTTCATAACTAGAAAGCAATCTTGTCGTGTACTGTAATTTCATCTACAAATCAGGCCCCTAGAATTTTTACAGATAAATCCATTACCTCAATATCATCAATCAGTTCTTTTTTTCTGCGACGAATGTTTAAAAGTTCTTCTCTTTCTTCTATAGAGAGGTCATCAGGCACTGAAATACAAAGTGTATAGCCTTTCAGCATTTGCAAATACACTTTATATCAGATTATGTCAGTAAGAAAAGGAAGTTTACAGGAAACTTTATGACATTTTCTTAGCAAAGATTATTTTTAAAGAAGAAAAAACAGAATACCTGACAGATTTTTTTTTTTACAGTAGAATTTTAGTAAGATAGCCAGACATAAGGAAACTAGACAATCCAGGGGAATTTGTTGTCATACAATGGGCCGTGAGATTTGCCTTTCCAGTTAAACCGGCAAATTCATGTTTGATATCATTCCAGTTGTTTCAATAACAGACCAAAATTCTTCATGTAAACTAATTRTGATTCAAAATTCACCTGTCTTCTCAGGAAATATAAACAAGTTGCATATAACTCATTACAAATATGTGYATCCTGGTGCTGATTTCAAATGCCAGTCTTTTTTCAGGAGTACCCTTTTATTTGATTGCTTTGTGCAGCAGATGTCTCAAGTACAATACTACTAACATCGTTAATAGCAATTACTGTTCATCAGTAGGACAAACATCTTTATTCATTACAAATAAACAAACAGTTGGAATCATTTAACACAGCATTTCACAAGCTTATGTTTTTGTATAACAACATTGAAATGTCTGAGATTTAAATCAATTTTAGTTATCTTCTTGGCTATGCTAAAATGAATATGTTAGCCTGTTGACAAAAAATACTTGCTATTGAAGACGCAGAAGTATTTTTGTATGCAGCTATGGCTGTAACTCACCCTAGTAGCAGCCTCCTTACCCTGTTTGCTTCATGTCTCTATCTGACAAGAAAAGTTGCTCAAGCAAAATCTCAGCTTTTATTTAGGAATTACGTTTTCCCTAACAAGAAGCTTCCTAGGACAGAGGCGACGCTTGCTCACTTGCACAGCACGTAAGCCAGAAACATTCAACTGCTTGCAAAGAATCTATAGGATAATAGTTTTAATGCTACCCACTTTCTTGAAAATTGCCCCATAATCATAGATTAGCTTTTCCTTCATGATCTGATAAATGGAGCAACCACAATAATTCAAGTATTAAAGTGATTCTGTACCAACAGACACAACAGTAACAACAGTAGCCATTTGAAAAGGCCAAAGCTGTTTCTTTATCTCCTGCGCACGTGTTTAGCAGCCTCTAGCAACAGAATCGGGGCAAAGATTTAGGTCTTAAGGGATTTTTTTTAAGATATATTTGAGACATATCCTCTGTTTAAATCCTAACAATGAAATATAATGATTCTTTCTGACATCTAGTGATTAATCTCCTTTCCTAAGCATAATATAAAGTCCAAATGGCATGCTAGACACACAGTAATGATGGCAAATGATCTAATTTAGCCATTGCAGATACAAACATTATTACATTACTTCCAGCTTAGGAAATGATAGTCTTTTGTTGAAAGAATACCAGACTTTACCATGTGTACCTGCACTTTCCCTTCATCTCACGAGCACCCCACCCATTCCCAAACATTTCTCTCATGCAAATACTAAGCCATTCTTTTTGCAAGGCTTACACATATATTTGCCTACACAAGCCGCCACAGCTTTGTCTCACACGCACACCCCAGGATTTCCAAYCCACAGAACTCCAGGGATGCAGCCGTTTGCCTCGGGAAGGCACAGCAAGGCCCTGGGAGGATGGACCACATCAGCCTCTGTGACTGACGCCCTCCCCTGCAACTCCCCTGCCCAAATATTCACAAAATAGCAGCATCTCTGGATTTCAGCAAGGGCTTTTGAAACTTTAGCACTATAAGGTATCCTTACCTATCCTGGAAGGAAAGAAGCAGTAGATGATGCTCAACTGCAGCTTAAAAAATTACTTGTGCAAAAAGGGCACTATCCCCTGGCAGTTGGTCAGTCCAACAGCAGTCAGAGGTGCCTTTCACAACCCGATGGGCAGGTGCCAGAGCAAGAGTCAAAAATCATTTTCTTTGGTGAGGAAACGGGCAGCATTGCAGCACTCAGTTAATCCTCCAAYATGGAATAAACACTTAGGGATTTCCAGTTATAAAAGTATTCATTTGAATTATTAAAAAAAAAAAAAGCTTGAAAACCAGTGAAACCACAACTGAGACTTGGTATGAAGACTTATTCTATACCCATTGAAAGCAAATGTAGGATCAAATATGACCAAGAACATAAGAGCAGCACATTAAAATCTTCTTACAGTCCTAAGCAAATATTGCCAGTACATGACATAAATGGACATCGCTCTGACAAGTCTGCTTCCATTAAGCAGGTTGCTTGATACTACAGTAGCTAGAACACTTAAGCTTTTTATAACCTTATGCCCATACAGCCCTTCAGAGAGAAGTGCTCCTAGAAGACACGTTGCGCTTCTGTAAGACAAGTTCTCTGTTCCCTCTCTGAGTCACTTCCAAGCCTTTTGTGGTTCACCAGCTCTCACATGAAGTAGACAGGATGGGAGGAGTTAGCACGAGCATTTAAATAATGAAAAAGAACAAAGATCATCTGGATGGAAAAGTATTTCGGGATAGTGAACAAACTGTGGCTGCACCAGGCTCTCCTAATGTCTCCTAATGTAGTTTTTAAACAAAAGCAATGTTTTATTTCTAACATGACTCATTTATGCAACAAAGCATTTAGTTACAGGGAAGCCATTTCAGTCACCACTAAATAGGAAGTCAATTTAGTTACTGATCTTTTAATAAAAGAGGAACAAAGTTATTGAAAGTACAAATTATATTCTTGGTCAAGCAGTAAAACTAAAGAACAGCAGCATAAATGTATCTACTGCTAAAAGTTACAGGAACTTGAATAGATAAACCCAATCTATCTTTCTTCAAGTACTGTAACTTATCTAAACACATCTGAATGCATTTCTTCTAAGCAATCATTTACTGGAATATGTTCTTTTAATACAATTGTGTTTTGCACAATTGTAGGTTTTTTTGTTGTTTTGTTTTGATTTTTTTTTTTACAGTAAATGGGTTACCAAAAAAATAGAAAGCAAACAAAAATAGTACTTTCCCAGAGTAACAACTGTTTTGTCCTGCACTTGTAATGTCACTTTAAGTGAATTTGCCACCACTGACAAGTACAGCAGCCAAATAAGGACACTAACCAAGCATCCTTAAAGTTTATGGACACACATCAAGTACCCATTTCTCTTCAGTCTCTACTAAAAAGCACCGAAATCAACGAGCTTTTTAGGTGCTGACATTTAAGGTGTAGCAAAATATGAGAAAGAATGAGGGGAACAAATTCAATGCAAAAATGCAATGCTTTACATTCCCATTTTGTGACAATTCCTTCACACTACCATGTTAAACAGTTTCTTTGGCCAGACCGTGCAGTCTTCCTCCACCACTTCAACTGATCCCAGAGCTAAGCCTCTCAGGATGACAGTAATACAATTCATAGGGAACAGAAACTATCTCACGATATCTAACAGCAGATAAAACACTAATTCCCCAACCTCATTGCCTCATATGAGGCAATATGACGCTTATTAACTCAACACGAAGATAAACATTTTCCTTATGCCATGTCAGTCTCAAATTGGTACTATAAGGATTTCCTTTCCTAGCAAAGAACAATTAGGATGGAATTTAATTTACCTGCAATTGAAACATCTTACAAGTGTGACGAGACATACACAATGCAAAGTTTAAAAGGAAATAAAGCTACTCTTGCCCACATACAGCATAAGCATATACTAGATTCTTCAGGTCTTTAAAAATAATATACATTCATCTCTGAGAACAAATCCATTTATCTCAGGACATTTGTCTCAACGGATATTCTCAGGCCAGTCTCTTTTCCTTTCCCCCTACACACTCCCTTTTTTTAACCTTAACCATAGGAATAGTTTCCAGATTTTAGACAAGACGTATAAACAAAGCTGCGACCACTTGTGGCTATTAGAAATTCCACAGAAGTTTTCGTAGGAGGAAACATCTTCAGTAGATTTATTTCACTGTGTGAAAACAAAATACATCTGCATTAAATTCATCTTGCAAAACTAGCAACATTTGGTTGCTTTCTTAACCACCTACTCCACGATATTTAGATACTGCTGAACATGTTTTAGCACCACAGCAATCACATTCAGTTAAGAGTGAAAATAATTCTGTACRCAATACCCTTTCAAATACAGAATTACAAGTTAGACGAGTTTAGGATGGGGTCCACGGCTTGCAAASTTATTTTGAGACTTTCCGATCATGAGGGATACTGTAAGACCAGACAGCACATTAGTGGCAAAACCCACAGGAGAGCCTCAGGCTCTGACGGCCTCCCCCCTCCTTTCTTTTTTTCTTATTGTTTTTAARCTATGGAATAACTCAGATGCTGTTGAACACATCATAAAGTATCTTTTCGTCTAGCATGAAAAAGTACCTGTCCTTTTGGTCTTCCAATCAACATTTAAGAAAAAAAATAAGAAARCTTATGTTAACATTACTTCCACTATGACATGAAGACATATTTAATTATACCAATGATTCACATGCAACACATTTTTATTGAAAGAACAAAGGTAGGAAGTTAATATATTATTTTTCTATCCACAAGAGAAACAGAAGGGTAATGGTACTGCCAAATGTGAAAAGAATGTGTTAGAACTAAAACACAGTGTTTATAACTGGATCAAGAGGATTTCTTTTTGACCTGTTCAAATATGGCAGAGGAAGTAAGAAAGAAACAAACAAACCAACCAACCCCACAGCTCTAGCTGTTTAAACTAGCTCTTTAAAAAGCCTTGCTTTTTAAAAACACARTTTACTAAATTCAACCATAAGGTGAGCCTGCCCCAAAAATAAAACTTTCAATCCCTGTGATGAAATGCATGCATTTAACAGATGTGGCATGTTAGCCATAAATAAGCTTATGGCTATAAAGCATAAACCATAATAAATGCATGCCTTGACCTTTATGAAACAGGATTAGGCAGTAAAACTACAGCTTCAGCATATACATCTTTGCAAACTATGTAAGTAGATAATATGAACTGCAA